ATTTCAGCCATTGTGATGCAGCCTGCATCACCCAGTCATCACTGCTGCAATCTGTCGTCATATCCAACATGGCAACATGTCCACAATCATAATTAGTACAAATTAAGAACTCTGTTTCTGACACCAAGCCCACCACTACGTTGGACATAAAACTCCTGCCAAAAATTGACCTGTTTCTCTCAACGATGAGGGAAGCTATACTGTATGGGTTGTGGCTCCTGTCCACTCTTGGCAGACTGACCACATTGGACCTTTGACCAATTCCCCGTTCACTTGCTCTGACCTGTCTTAAGACTATCACTGGAACCTCGAGTTGACACTTTTTCTAGTTAGGTTATTGCTGTTCAGCCAACTCTAACCACACCCTTGTGGCCCTTAAAACTAATGTTTCATATTTTCAACATTTATAATCTGTAACAGTGTACCTTTTATCATAAAAACAACTCAAAAATAGAATGACAGTGAAAATACTTGATGGACTTTCCATAGGTCTTTTGAGCCTTAAAATTATCCTCACAAATCCATCTTTAAAAATTTGTAATTGCTTCCCTCACCTATCCAATTTCACACACCTTTTTAAGGCAGTTCCCCCTCACAGTTGCTTCCTAGGTAGTAAACAGGATGAAAAGGGTGGCAGTTATAGAGATCTACTTTTAAAATTCAGAATGCCACCCTAACAATTCCTGGACATGATGCTTTTTTCATTCCCCTAATGACAACTGTAGGCTGTCCTAGTTGGTAAATCCTCCAAGTGGTTCTCAAACTTAAATCCAGTTGAGACATCTGGATTTCCTTATTGGACCAAATGGTTTGAGTATAAAGATAATGATTACTTGGCTGAGTACACTACTCTCCCAGTTCCTATACAGTGGCCCATGTTGGCCAAAATTAGAGGCATTTTGTAATTTTCTAAAAATGCCTGTGTTCCTCTTGTACATGGCCTTCTGAATGAAAGGTGGGGTGCAAGTAGTAAGATATTGGAAAAAAGAAGAAATTTTAACCACAGGAATCGGATGCAGTGATTTTGTAGCAGTGGAGGCAGTCCAAGCACCCACATCTAGAATGTGGGAGCCATGGAAATAAGAGAGACATAACGATCCCTGCCTGTCAGAACTGCCTCTGGAGCCCTCATCACAAAGAGAAATCCCATGGTCAGACCACCCCACACTGCCTCACCCAGTACAGGATTCTGGCAGCTGAGTTTCCATTCACTAGAAATTACTTTATTATTTTCATATGTCTGAGTCATTTTGTGTCATTTGTGTCACTTTTTTTAGGATAATTCCACCTTTTTCTCTAAGTACTTTTAAGATTTTCTCAATCTTAAGTGCTCTAAACTTTCATTAAAATGAATTTAAGTGTTAGTTTATTTTCCTTTTCATGATTGGGATTTGTTGGGCTTTATGGAATTATAGGTTTTTCTCTTTGCTTCTAAAAAATTCTCACTGACTACATCTTTAAATTTTGCCTCTGACCTGCTCTCCCCTCTCCTGTATTAATTAATGTACTTTAGACCTATTCAGTGTATTTTCCATATCTTGCAACTTTTTCCCATCTTTTTAGCTGACTGTTACAGGTTGGATACTTTTTTCTTATATATCTTCCAGTCTAGCTATTTCTAATCTGTTATTAAACCTGTGTTGTATTTTTTAAACATTTTAATTTTCATTTCCAAAAGATATTTCAATTCTGTTTCAAATGTGTTAGGTCATATTTTCAAGCATTTCCTTTAAAAGCTTAGACACAGAACATATTGCAAAACCCATGAACACATGAAACAGTGTGGTGATGGCCAGAAGAAAGGGCTTGGTAAAGGGGAGCAAATGGAGGAAACATGGGGAATGTCTGCAATAGTATCAATGCTAAAAATAAAGAAAAATTTATGGTAAAAAATAAGAGTGTCATTATACTCTGAGCAACTTTCCCCAACAAAAAGCTAAAGCATAATTCCATCAATCACAACATCTAAAGAAATGGGTGCATTGTTTCTGCCTATAATTTTTGCTGATTCTCACAGTAACATTTTCCCAGTATGTTTAGTAAATTTGACTGGTGGGCCTTATAGGGTTACTGAAGGGGGTTCTTTGAGGCTAAGGATAAAGACACCTTCTTAAATACATAATGTATTTTTTATTCTGCCAGGCACTATAGACAAAACAAAAGCAATACATTTAATACTAAATTCCCAAGTTAAGATTTATTGGACCATTAAAGTGACACAGATTTCAGCTTTAAAACCATAATACAACTCCTCAGGGGCAAGTCCAATTACCTGTATCCTCAGAGCCAAGGCAACTGTAACTTTGTAGTTTTGAAGAGGGAGGTGATTCTCATTTTACCCTTATTTTGAGTATGACATCCCTTGGCATAACCATTTTAATGAGGGGAATAAATGCCTATTAAAGCTCCCCACCTGACATATACAATGGCCTGAGACTTTTTTTCCCCACATTCTAAAGCGTATTATAAGTAAAGGTCAAGTTTATACACACAATCATTCATCATGTCAAAAAGTGTCTTTCAGTGTTCCAAACTTACTTTTGGGTTCCTTCTTTCACTCTTATTTTAGTCTTTACTGAAGTAAGAAGCAATTATATTAAGTAGTATACTTCAATATTGTTTGCAAGCATAGATTCTTAAGTGACATATATAACATAATTGTTGATATATATAATTATATATTTAGACATATTTAATATATGTAAATATCACATACATTTCTTATAAAATAAATAAATAAAGATGTTCAACTTAAGAGATCATACATAAAATTCATGGGTTACTAAACACAGGATTTTAAGATATAAAAAGACAAACTTCATCTCTTATAATTATATATAATAATGTAGTATTTCAAATATGTGAACTCATATTAGGGTACAAGGTGGGGCAAAAGTAGTTATATAGTTGTATGGGAAACAAGTTTATTCTTGTATTATTAATTATTGTATTATTTTCCATACAAACTGTAAACTTACTTTAACCCCACCCTGTATATCTATGAAAATAGAAAAATAGTCAAGTGATTCTAGGATTTAATTTGGCAACATTTTGTCATCTGAACTTGGGTAATAAACAAATAGTAAAATTTACTTTTAAGCATGACATTTTTTTCCATTAAAACACATCATTTCCCCTTTTGAATTTAAGTCCTAATCTTAAAAGCCCAAAGGAACAAATATATCTCTGCCGAAAGTTTAGCTAGAATTTTCACCTTCCTTTTGTTCTGATACAATATGATTTATATACATACTTATTAACTGCACATTTTGCATTTAACATTTTAAAACTGTAAATTATAAAATCAATACATGCCTAGGAAAAAATTACATTTTGCAACAATAAATTAATGACTTTTTATTTCTACAGAATATTTTATATAAAATTACACTATTCCAAATCTCTGTAATGTTACCCACAATAAAAATATTCACAAAATATTTACTATTTTAAAAGTACATTAAAATTTAAAAGACTAAGAATACCAAAAAAATTATCTTAAGAAATTTTTTTCCTTGGAAAAGAATGAGTATCTAGAACAATATATAGATTGAACTTAATAACATAATAGGAATAGTCTTAATCCCCAACCTTTATTTTTACTTTTTACTATCTAATTAGTACACATTATTTTAAAATTAGAAAATAGGTGACATAAAACTGCTAATACTATTTTACAACCTCTTGTTCACATAATAGATCATCACTCCCCTTGAATATGAAATATAACTCATGAATTTCATGCTTAAACATTTCTTATCAAAGCTTAAATACTCTCAAGTTTTATAATTACTCAAGATAATTATTTCAAACAATTTTCTGAAGACAAAAACTAATTTTATAATTCCTCCAAATCCTTCACAAAATAAACCTAAATAAAATATCTAACGATAGCCTATACATTTTTGGTTTTCATTTAAAATTACTGACAATATTAGCTATACTAAAAAGGATAAGTTTTAATTAACTCTTTCCATTTTAATATAATGTCTTACAAGAGTTTCCAAAGTAATATTTGAAGACAGTTAAAAGTATTACAAAGAAAAATTATGTGCATAGCATAAACATAGTATTTTGAGAATCTCCTACTATACAGTAATTCAGAGTACTTAAAAGAAATATACTATTGATACTGTGCCAAGGGAAATTATCTGAAAAAGCTCACATATTCAGCTACCAATCTTTGTGGAGGGAAAAAAGAATGCTGGAGTCCTAAGACATTTCTTAGCTGGATACCTTTGGAAAGTTAGTTAGCCTCTTAAAAGGTAAATTTCTTCTTCAGTTAGATAGTTACCAACACCTCCAGTTAGTTGTAATTTAAATACTTTTTTAAAATTAACATTGTTTTCTGATTTTTAAAAAATCAAATTTTGATTCTTTGGTGAATCAAATTGTTTAAAACTAAAAAGTTTTTGCTATTTAAATCAAAAGAGGCATTCTATCACATTTCCCATCATATTATATAGATGAGAGACTGACAAACTACGGACCATGAGCCAAATCCAGCTGGAAACCTGTTTTGATAAACCAAGATTTATTGGATCACAGGCACAGTCAATAAATTATGTATGATCTATGGCTGCTTTTGCACTACACCAACAGAGTGAAGTGATTTTGACAGAAACTATATGGCTAACAAGCCTAAAGTATTTACTATAGGCCTTTAAAAAAAAAAGTTTGCTGCCTCTAGCTATAAATAATTATAAATTAAATTGGAGAACGTAAAAGGGATTAGCAGAAAACAATGAAAGGGATATTAAACTATACACCTAAACATATGCCCCATAATGCCACTTCAAATCCTAAAATCTAAGCTTCAAATTCAAATGGAACTAGAATATGAAAATTTTGGTTACAAAACATATAGAAACATTTCTGAAGTATATTAAAAGTTTATTTAAAATAACAAAGTATATCTTTGTGCCTCTTGAAATTAAAGCCAATTATTATGTCTACTGTAAATAGTACTTATATCTACTTTATACACATTATGTTTTTACCTGCTAATGGCTTGCTCCTCATCAGTTATTCCAGTCTCCCTGAATGCCCTGTTTGATTCCGCCAAACTCAAGGCAATTGCTCTCTGAAGATCATCTTTATCATCTCCAGTGAGATCAATCACATCTGAAAAGCAAAACTATCTTACTCAAAATTAAAAGTCAAATAAAACGAAAGATAATTCTTATCATGGAGTTTTATACCCAATTACCCTTTCAAACCAAAGTCAGCACCAACTTAATTCTATATAAGCGCCTCTCTGAAGAGAATGCAAATTATAAACTGTTTTACTTCAAAACATAATGTTCTTCTCTAAAATATACCATAAATATTTTCCTTGCAAAGTGTCTGAGTAAAAGCTAATAAGTTTCATTACCAACAAAAATTGAAATTAACATAAAACATCTACATTTATGCTTCTGAAGTTAACCCAAAAGCACACACCCTACAGTGTAGCCATACAACCTAGCTATTGTCTATGATAGTATAACAATTAACAATAGAGCTCTCTAAAATTAGGTTTAGAGCCGAAACCGGTTTGGCTCAGTGGTAGAGCGTCGGTCTGCGGACTGAAAGGTTCCAGGTTCGATTCCGGTCAAGGGCATGTACGTTGGTTGCGGGCACATCCCTGGTGGGGGGTGTGCAAGAGGCAGCTGGTCGATGTTTCTCTCTCATTGACGTTTCTAGCTCTCTCTCTCCCGTCCTCTCTGTAAAAAAATCAATAAAATATATTAAAAAAAAAAAAAGATAATTAGGTTTAGAAACTAACTGACCATATATATATACATTTTTAAAGTCTGGAAGTATGTAACAAACTGTTAACAGTGGTTAATTTTGGGGAGGACAGTTAACAGAGGAGGAAGTGTAAGGATCTTTTACTTTCTATATTAAGCACTCTACCCTCTGAATTATTTAATAAACATGCAGTCCTATAAATTTAACAACAAGATTTCATTTCACAACAAGAAAATATAAATAAATACTATTTTCTTTTCTAACAAAAGAAAACTGTCCTGCCAAAACCAGTTTGGCTCAGTGGTAGAGCGTAGGCTTGGGGACTGAAAGGTCCTGGGTTCGATTCCAGTCAAGGGCATGTACCTTGATTGCGGGTGCATCCCCGGTGGGGGGTGTGCAAGAGGCAGCTGGTTTATATTTCTCTCTCATCGACGTTTCTAGCTCTCTATCTCTCTCCCTTCCTCTCTGTAAAAAAACAAAAAACAAACAAACACACAATAAAATATTTTTTTAAAAAAAGAAAGAAAACTGTCCTGATAGCTATAAGTATTCTTTATCCAAAAAATAAAGGCTATAATTATTACTATCTTCAGAAAAAATAACAATACTTTTTCATCTAATTTGCCAATATAAACTGGTCCATTTCCTTAACCCAAAAGATGCCAGTAATACTCCCATTATCATTTAAACAATGATAGGAGGCATAACATGTTGCTTACTAGGAGATTACAAAACAATATGGTGAGAAAGAGAAAGAAGTACAGCTCTCATTACCTTTTCTTTGTGTGGTTGGGATTATGCTTATTGATAGTTTGAACAAGTTTTGTATTTATATTTTAATTTATATTTGAGATGTTAAAATTATTTTTTGTCTCTGTAATCCTGGATTTTAACAATAGAGAAACAAACAAAAAGGGTAGGGCATTGGAAATAAGGTAACTGCATTTTATCATCTGGCTAAAGGGTTTTATTTTATTTTTATTTTTTTAACACATTTTATTGATTTTTCAGTGAGGAAGAAAGAGGGATAGAGAGATAGAAACATCGATGAGAGAGAATCATCGATCAGCTGCCTCTTGCACACCCCCTACTGGGGATGTGCCCGCAACCAAGGTACATGCCCTTGCCCGGAATCGAACTCTGGACCTTTCAGTCCATAGGCCAACGCTCTATCCACTGAGCCAAACCGGTCCCGGCATGGCTAAAGGGTTTTATACAGATACTAGAAAAAAATATTCCACACTCGTTGAAATAATAATGTATATTAACAATTTCAAAAGCCTACTTTGATTGTTATCCATACTTTTTTCTCCAAATAGTAGCTTACAAAAATATTAAAAATATTAGAAATTATAGTTAGCTATGGAAGGTATTATTTTAATGTCTTGAATATAATAATGTAATAAGTAGGAGCCAAAAAACTTCCAAGTAAAATATGGAACAAGTTATAGCAGTAACTGAAATATGGCATATGCCTATATATACTAGCAGGCCAAAGGCTTCCTTAGTCGGATTTACAAAACCCAAGTTCACTAGACCAGAGCTGTAGATGGATGTCACCATCCAGTCCAGTATAAAAACTAATGAAGAAAAAGGTAGGACTAGAGAGGCATAAAATGCCCTATTAAAATGCCCAGCTGAGTGGCTCAGTGGTTGAGCATTAACTCATGAACCAAGACATCACCTGTTCGATTCCCAGTCAGGGCACATTCCAAGCTTGTGGGCTTGATCCCTAGTGTGGGGCATGCGGGAGGAAGTCAATCAGTGATTCTCACTCATCACTGATGTTTCTATCCCTCACTCTCTCCCCCACCCCTCTCTAAAATAAAAAACAAATTTTAAATAAATATATAATATAATGAGTCATAAATCATGCCCATTAAGTAATGATAACTTGGGTGAGTAAAGAAAGAATAATGGAAGTAAAGAAAATAATTTGAAAAGCACAAAGAAGCAGAAAGACAGATTTGGGGGATACAATCAATTAGCCCGCAGACTCCATTCTTTCATCCGAGTGTGCTATCTTCAACTACAAAAGCTGGAAAGATTGAAACAAACAAACCTATTTCCCAATCCACTTGTGGTTCAAGTTCTGGGTAAAATTTAGGTTCTCCCAACTGGATGCACAAACATGAGATTTGGAAGGCAGAGCGAGGGGAGACCATTATCCTACTGTTTTGGGCTGTGGTCTCCAATATGATTGAACAGGTATGGTTGTTCTATAGAGCATCCCACTGTCCAGTTTCTGTTTAAGGGATGTCAGCAATAGAGAAGTGGCAACAACACTCTGAATCCCAGTGTCCAGGCATAGCTCAAGGGCAGCTACCTAATCCTGGCTGCCTGCTCCCTGGGCTCCAGTCACGGAGGCATGTTCTTGAACTCGGCAGTCCCAGAGACAGCCTCCTGACTCACTGCCCTCCTGACTGTGGCAGAGGGAGTAGCTTCTTTGTCTGGCCAGTCTGCGGGCTGGGGAGTCCTGTCAGCTGGCTGAGCTGCAGTCCTTCCAGTGATTTCTGAAGAATCAAACCCCCTTTTAAATTTCTTTGAAACGATCAGGAGTGTTGTTCACTGTTTCATAACTGACAAGTAAGCCAACATGGCTAGAGCAGAAAACTAAATTAGAAATAGCAACAACTTATATTGAGCATTTCATAATTTATCTATTATAATTCAAGCACCAAAAAAGCAAGTATCAAAGATGTTTTTAACCCTATTTTATAAATGAGATAACCAAGGTTGTGAAAATGAAGTATATCATTATAAAATAAAAATGTAGACAGGCATTTAAGCCTTCTATTAAATCAATGGTCTTTCCTCCATATTAGAAGTTCTCCAAGTGTGGTCCCTGGATCCTTGGGGATCCCCATGCCCTCTTAGTAAAGGGGATCCCGTAAGTGAAAAATATTCTTATGATAATACTAACATATTACTTTCCTATTCTAGTGTGGTCACATTCTAGTGTGTGATGATGCAAAACAGCAGTGCCTAAAACTGTTGCATCTTAGCATAAATCAAGGCAGTAGAACCAAGTGTGTGCGCAATTCACTGTACTACTCACAACTACATACACTCACTATTCAAAAAGAAAAAGTCTAGTTTCTCTTAAATCCTTGATAAAAAGGGTGTTTTTTTTTATTATTAAATCTGAAATGCTGGCTTACATGTTCATTGATAATCCAGGATGAAATCAGAAGTGCTTATGCTGTGTGTGCAAACACCAATGCAATACCTGGGCAACAGGCTGAATGGCTGACTTTTTCATGGAACACTATTTTTACTTGAAAGAACACCAACAAACTACAGACTATGAGTATTCAGACTTCAAAATTTGGCAGACATTTTCTCAAAAATAAACAAAGTGAGCCTGTCACTTGGAAGAGAACAAATTAACAGGATTTGTTGCCAATGATTAGTATGGAATTTTCAAGCAAACATTTGAACTTTGTTTAAATTTGTTTCCACTGTTTTGAACCTAATTTCTTCCCAGTACTTTAAATCTTTTCTGACTAGAGGCCCCATGCACAAAATTCGTGCACTCAGGAGGGGAGGGGGTGTCTCTCAGCCGGGCCTGCGCCCTCTCACAGGCTAGAGGCCCTTGGGTGATGTCCAACTGACAGCTCAGTGCTGCCATGGAAGCGGGAGAGGCTCCCACCGCCACCGCTGCGCCCGCCAGCCCTGAGCCCGGCCTCTGGCCGAGCGGCGCTCCCCCTGTGGGAGCGCACTGACCACCAGGGGGCAGCTTCTGCATTGAGCATCTGCCCCTTGCTGGTCAGTGAGCATCAGAGCGACTGGTTGTTCCGCCTTTTGGTTTATTTGCATATTACCCTTTTATTATACGGGATGAAACCAAGTGATGTTAACAATTTCAATTTGTTTTATAATGTAGAGATTCTTCCAATATTTGAAAGGAATTATTTTCCAATTTACCAAAGCACAGTATCATAAAACCATGCATAGGATAAATATTTCATTTGAAGAGCAAGTTATGTGAAAAAGATGCTTAAGAGTAACTTTTTATTCTATTTGTTCTTTGACCCTGGTTCCTAACACAGAGCCCTTAAACCCCTTGGAATTAATTTCCTTGGTGACAGGAGCATCTTTGTTCCAGTGAGGTAACCCTTTGTTGGCTCCTGTATAGCTTTAGTATGGGGACTGATGACCAGAAAGACCAAGCCAAGATAAAAAGCTTGGAATTTTGGCCTCAGAGGAAGAGAGAAGGCCTGAAGATTACTAGTCAATCATACCTCCCTGACAAAGCATCAGAAAAATCACTAAGTGCAAGGTCAGGGGCTTTGGGGTTGGGGAGCATATCCACATGCTGAGAGGATGAGCACCCCAACTCCAAAAACCAGAAGCTTGTGCACCTGGGACCCTTTCAGACCTTGCCTTAT